TGAAAGGTTACAGAGAAAAGTTTCAGAGAAACCTCCAGGTCAAACCCAAAATACTCAAAGGGGCAACTTTGAACTAAACTTAATTTAACCCTTCCCCTTTCCTTCCATTCCCTTCCTTCCTTCCTTCCTTCCTTCCTTCCTTCCTTCCTTCCTTCCTTCCTTCCTTCCTTCCTTCCTTCCTTCCTTCCTTCCCATAACACTGACATTACATATTTTCTTATTTCTGCCTTGTAACCCCTAGAAGAGTGCTCAGTAAATGCCTTTTGAATGAATAATTTTCTGAACAATTAAATAACTTCATCTCTCCTAGTTGAAGAAAAGGATATCTTAGTCTTCAAAAGCTTAAGAGCTGTTTAGTGGATCTGTTTGTAACCTAGCAAGCTTAGCGAGTTAAACAAGGTTGTTCAAAAATTTTTTATTTTATTCAGAAATTGCTCAGGCAGTATTGTACACTAGGCAAATCTAACCACCAGTTTTAACCAATTGAGTTTCACCTAATTCTAATAAATGTTATCTAGTTTTTGTACCTAATCAGGACTTTTGGGTCAGTTACTGCCATGCCCTCAAAGAAAGTCAGATATGACTTGAATTGGAGTGACACTTTCTTCTCTAATATTATTTACATGCTGGTTTTATTTTGCCAATTGGTGGTGGCCTATGATAATCAAGTAGCACTGTGAACCAATGGGTCTCACAAAAGACCTCCTGATATAGCAGTCAACAGACTTTATATTTGTTTGAGATTTTCTGCACAGAGTATTTCCCGGATAAAGACCTGTAGGAAATAAAGTCAGTTAAAATAAGCATTATTTTTTCAATACTAAAAAAATTAAATCCTAAAAATATTAAAAGAATAGTGTAAAGGGTGCACATGTAGCTTTCCTTAGCTGCTGAATTTTTACCATTTTGCCACATTTGCTTTAATATTTGTATCAATCTATACTGTTTAAAATTTATATCCTTTTTTGCTGAAACATTTGAAAGTAAGTTGCAGACATCATGTTATTTTACTCTAAATACTTCATGTGTCTCGTAAGAACAGGAAAATCCTTTTACAAAAACATTTTATCAATTTTTTATATATAAGAAATTAAATATCATCTCCATGATATTATCTAATATACTCTTCAAATTTCTCCAATTGTTCACGTGTGTCTTTTATAGTTGTGTGAATGTGGCCTTTTTTTTTTTTTGAGTCAGAGTCTCACTCTGCTGCCCAGGCTGGAGTACAGTGGCACGCTCATGGCCACTGCAGCCTTGATCCGATGGGTTCAGGTGACCCTTCTGCCTCAGTCTTCCAAGTAGCCGTAACCCCAGTTATATGCCACCACATCCGGCTATTTTTTTTTTAATTGTAGAGACGAGGTGTCTCCATGTTGCTCAGGCAGGTCTCCAACCCTGAGCTCAGGCAATGCTTTCACCTCTGTCCCCCAAAGTGCTGGGATTACAGGCTTGAGCTACAGCACCCGCCCGTGGACTTTTTTATTTTTTAGGGTCTGATCAAGGATCAGTTTGCATCTTGTTGTCATTCTCCTTAGTTTCCTTTCATCTATAAGTATCTCTTTGGTTTTTTTGTTTGTTTTTTGATCTTTCGTGATTTGACAATTTTGACAAATCTGGGCCAATTGTTTTGTAAAATGTTCTACAGTTTGGACATGTTTATTTTCTCATTATTTGTTAATATGTCTATGTGTGTATTTGCAGAAATACAACATAGTCTTAGATGGTATTGTGACTCCTCATTGCATCATATGAGGTGGAAAATAATGCTAATTTGTTACATTATGGCGATGCTTATTCTGATTCTTTGGTTAAGATGCAGCCATCACTGTATGAGTACCCTTTTCTCTTCCTAATCCATAAATTATGTGTTGGGTGAAACTTTGAGAATATGGGGATCGTTTTACTTCATGTTTTTAAGCATTATTTGTTGATTCTTACCTAAATCAACTCTTTTTTTTTTTTTTTTGAGTTGGAGTCTTACTCTGTCACCCAGGCTAGAGTGCAATGGCACACTCATGGCCACCATAGCCTTGACCTGCTGGGCTCAAGTTATCCTTCCACCTCAGCCTTCAAGTAGCTGAACCACAGGCATGTGCCACCATGCCTGGCTAATTTTTTAAAAAATATTACTGTAGAGACGAGATCTCACCAAGTTGTCCAGGCTGGTCTCGAACCCCTGACCTCAGGCAACCCTCTCACCTTGGCCGCCCAAAGTGCTGGGATTACAGGCTTGAGCCACCACACCCGGCCTAAATCAACTCTTAAATTGTTGTTTGCACAATGGTAATTTTCTAATTTTATCATTTCTTCTACCTATAGTAGCTGCCATTCTTTTGTTAAAAAGAGATTTTCCTTTCCCTATCCCCATGATTTACTGACTTTTTAAAAAACGCAATCTGTTCTAATTTATTATTTTATTTTTTTAATCTTCAGAATGTCCCAAATTTGGCCAGTGGAATCTTCCAAGCTTGCCTCTGTGATTTTTTTTTTTTTTGGTTATGTTTGCAGTTATCACTGAGTACTTTCTTATATTATAAACACACTTAAACTCACAAATGATTTTCCTTGCCTTCGCCATTTCTCCAAGGAACTCATGCTTCTTTATGGGGAGAATTGTATTTAGAAGCCAAGATGCTGGCACCAGATGAGCCCATTCATGTTAGGGTGGGCATGAGTAATTTTCACTTCTATTATATCCAGACCATTTCCATTCTTCTTACTCTTATTCCCACTTATCTAATTTTCGATTTTATACAATGAAAGCATTTCATTCCTTTGTATTTTCTACAGCAGAGTATTGAATTGCAAATGCTGCTACCTAGAATTCTGTGTGATTCCTGATGATTGACAAGGGGTGAGAATCTCTCCCTTCTCCTCTGACAGTGAGAAAGCTCTGACATTCTCCACTTTATTCAAGTCCTTCTCGGTCACCTCTGTTTGTCTTTCATCTGATTTTTACAGATGTTCTGAAGTTCCCAAAATAAATAGAGATAATCAGTGAACCACAATATCTGGAAGATAAAGCAAATGCTTACCTGTTTGCTTTGCCATCTGCTCCGTTTTGGATTGGATAAATACATATTCAGTCCCCCCAAACAGCATGCATTTCTCAAATACCCACAGTGGCTGGCTCCAACTCCATCTGGTTGATTCTGATTATTCCATTACAACTGTTCAGATTTATAAACCCACCCATTAAAAGAACTTAGACACGTTAATACTTATGTAGTCCTTAACCACCATGCCTCCAAAAAAAAAAGTGAAAGCGTTCACAAGACATTATTTCATTGAAGGGACTGTTATTTTAATGGAACATGTTATACATGCATATTATTCTAAAAGGTTTGTTTCTCTTTTTTTTTTTGGAATTGCCAAGCCTTCATTTACAAATAGAAGATTAGCTATAGTTTATGTTAATTGCTCTAAATTTGACTATGGTGAAAAGCAACAATGCAAATTCCAGCTTTTTTTTCCCCCCTAGCAATGTTTCTATGCAAAGATTAAGAGTGTCTGTGACTTGTTCTAGAGTAATAATTTCAATTGGCTCGAGTCCATTAACTGCGGGGAAAAACACCTGGCGAGGCGGTTGGTCGCAGCCCATTCTTGTTAACCTTTCAGCCTTCACAATAACTATCAGCAGGTACTAAGTCAGGGCCTCTGATAAACTGGCATTTAAGCTGCTGACAGCTAATAACTTTTTATGGGTTTCCAGGACTAAATAAAAGAAAATGTTCTGATTAATTAGAATCAAGAATTTTCAAATTCCATAACCCTAGAATTGAATAATTTTTAGACATATAAAATAAAATAAAAATCAATGTGGTCTTTCAAAAGACTTTTTCCCACAAGCAAAATAGATTGTTAAAGTACACTATTTTTGCTATTTTACTCCAGTTTAATTTTCAGCTACTGCGCTCTTTTATTTTTTAGCAAAAGGGAAAATAGCTAAAACATGGAAAACTTTGAATACCAACTATAGAAGTAAAGTTTAAACTGGATTCTTTCAATGTGTCAAATAATTTATGCTAGTGAATTACAGAAACCTTTTAATTACTAAGAATTGTGAGAGATTAGACCTCAGTCCTGTAGGGGAAACATTTTAATGAAAGTATTTAAACGTGTTACAGACAATCTTTTTTTTTTGCCTCGCATATAGGAAAATCAGTCTGCAGATGCACCATATCTGTAAGTGAAACCTGCTCACCAATGGTTTTATGTACACAAAGGTGAGCTTGAGAAGAAAGCCAGGGTGGAAGAGTCACCGAGTCACAACCATCGTCCTGCAAGAATGCAAACAATTTATTCTCTTTCTTGAGTCAGATGGCTGGACTCTAGTAGAATAAAGGCAAGGATAGCAACTGAGCAAGGAACCAGCTTGTATGATTGCTAACTTTAGGCAAAAACTACTGTGAAATATTATTGTTCCCTGATGTGATGTTTTCTTACTAACTAGACTCAGTTACTATGGTTATGGCAGAATAGAGAAACTCTACGATGTCCAAGGCTCAGCTCTTGTAGATAGGAAGAAAAGAAACCATTTTTGAGAGAGGAGAAAGACTCCCAAGACAATGAGTGGAGGCCCAATAGATGAGGTAAAAACTTTCCCGCCATTTCTAAGCTTACCACTCTATCTTGGAGGGCCTCATGAAACCATAGCTGCTGTAGTAGGAATGTTTTTTCCCTCCCAAACTCATGTTGAAATTTAATTGCCATTGTAATAAGAGGTGAGGCCTTTGAGGACTCTGTCCTCTGTCCTCTGTCTTCTGTCCTCCCCTGAGTCTAGTTAGTAAGAAAACATTAATGCTATTATCATGGGAGTGGGTTTGTTATTGTGGGAGTGGGTTCCTTGTAGAAGGACAAGCTTTAACCCTTTTTTCTCTCTTGACCTCTTTTTGCCCTTTTCTCATATTTTCATTCAGTAAGAAGACCCTTACCAGATGTTGGCACTTTGATCTTGAACTTTTCAGGCTTCAGAACTGTGAGAAAAACATTTCTGTTCATTATAAATTAGCCCATCTGGAGCATTTTGTTATAGCAGCACAAAATGAACTAAGACAGTACCCTTGACTGCATATAGAAGCTAAGATTCTGCAGAAACAAATTCAGGTAAGACCTTACCTTCTTAGCATGGAGGGGGCATTGAAATAAAAGTTTTTGTTTGTTTGTTTGTTTTGCTTGTTCATTTTTAAATCAAGGTCAAAAGTGAAGATAGAAAAGAAGAAACAACTTTTAAAGGGTCCTTAGAAAAGACCTTTAAAAATCCTAGTTGGGAGAAAAGCCTTTGGAATTTCTGAAGCTTAAGGTGAAAACAAACAATGGAATTCATAGAACACAGAGAAGGAATATTTCCTATCAGTGATTTATTAAAATTTACTTGGATTGGGAAGAAGGAAGAGATCATTAGAGGATAAGCAAGAGAGCTTATATATGGTAGGGCCCCTGTGGTCTGCTCCTTCACACTTGCTTGAAAACTGGGGAGGTATTGGGTGACGTCAGCTCTGAAAGCAAGATCTATTTCCTCTTTCCTAGTGAGTACCCAAGAAAATCCCAAGATCCACACCTCCTGTGGTGCCCAGCACTGTGTGGGAACAGAAGGAAGGCTGAAGTGGCATGTGTAAGATGAGGGAGCATGGAGTAGCCATATACATTTTTCCACAACCTAGAGTGGCAAGGGAAAGCAGCTGGTGTTTCCTGTTCCTCTGAGAGGTTACAGATGTGGAGAGAGAGAGAAAGAGAGAGAGAAAGAGAGAGAGAGAAAGAGAGCGAGAGAGTACCAAGAGCCACATCTGGAGACTCCCTACAGGAGGGCCAAGGGAAAACTTGGAGGCAACTTACATTGGTCAGTGGCTGAGTATTAGATGGGAACAGAAGATGCAGTATGAAGAGCTCATGAGCAAGGGACAGTACCATCCCCTCATTCCTTCACATTGAGGCATCACCTAAGAACCCTAGATTTATGACAAAATCCCTGCAGTAAAGGAGATGATCTTTTTACACTTCTTTTTTATTTTATTTTAAAGATGTGGGGTACAATTCAGGATTAGGTATACTAGTAGACAAAGTTTGGGCCTCCCTTTGATCTCTACTTTGCCTGGTTTGAGATCAGGTACCCTTATTGATGTTGTGTCCCTCCCCCACTCTGACAGTATCCCGCTACTGCCAATCCCTTTCTTATAGCATTATGGTCAATGTTCAGGGTTCCCTCATAAGTGAGAACATGGTTGTACTCTGTTTTTTGTTTCTGAGGAGATGATCTTGATGTAAGATTTAATTTTGACCAGATGGGAACCAAAAATACAAGATTAAGTTGAGGTAGGAAAACAAACAAATATTCACTTCTTGCTTGCCTGAGTCTTGTGGAATGAGATTCATACCCATTGCAGTTGCTGTCTTGGTCCACTTTTTTTTTTTTTTTTTCCTGCTTTTACAGAACACCACAGTAATTTATGTTTTAAAAAGAGAGATTTATTTGGCTCATAGTTCTGGGGATGGGGAATACCAAGATCGAGGGACTGCATCTGGTGAGGACATTCTTGCTGCATCGCAAGATGGTAACAGGCATTGCATGGGGAGAGAAGGCTAGACCGGGCAAGAACACATGAGACAGAGAGAAAAAAATGTGATGAAATTCCAAGATAATGGCATTAATTTATTCATGTGGGCAGAGCTGGTGTGACCCAATCACCTCTTAAAGGTCCCACCTCTTAATACCCATGGTATGACAATTAAATTTCAAAATGTGTTTTGGAGGGGACATTTAAACCATAGCAGTTTGCAATTAAGTCACTTGTGTGCCAGCTTTAATTTATCCCTCTAGTCTGTGAGTTCCTGAAGGAAAATGGCTGTGTCTCTTTCATTTTCTGCTAGGTATCTTGAAAACAGTAGACACTTATTAAATGTTTGTTCAGTGTATTGAATGGCTTAATCCAAAACATTCCTGGTAGCAAACTGTCTTGGTAACCAACTCCAACTACAATGAACAGCAGCTAAAATGAAGGAGGCATAAAAGAGAGGCAGGCAACAAATTCATCATGACTTGAGCACCTAGATACCCAGTCTCAACAACTGCTATCTCTGCTTTCTGAAGTACTATCTCTACTTGGTTTCCAATGCACTCCACTCATCTAGCTTCTCTCATACATTTTTATTCACACCTACTCAATCTCTTTTGCTGGTTTCTCCTCCTTTGATCTTACTCAGTGTTCAGGCTATACATTCTTCCTGTGTACAGTAAGTCCCCTGTATACAAATGAGTTCCATTCCAAGAGTGCATTCATAAATCCAATTTGTTCATAAGTCCAACAAAGTTAGCCTAGGTATTCAACTAATGCAGTATTCTATATAGTACTGTACTGTATATACTTATAATACTTTTCACACAAATAATACACAAAAAACAAACACAAAAATTTACTCTACAGTACTGTACAGTAAAGTACACAGAAACACAACCACTTTTAGAGGATGCACACACATGACAATGTACGCCAGGCATGTGAATTAACTTATGTGATTGGACATGTGAATGCACATTCGCATCTTTGAAAATTTGCAACTTGAAGGTTTGTATGTAGGGGACTTTTTGTACTAAGAACTCACACATTTGTAAGTGCATCTGGTCCACACTTCTCTCCTTAGCACCAACTGCCTTCTTGATGTCTGTGTCTAGATGATCTAGGCTTTTAAAGCTTAGCATGTTCAGACTTGAGCTTTATATCCTCTCCCAAGCCAATGCCTTCATCAGTTGTCTTCCCATGTCAGTCAATGACAATCTTTCATTTCCAGTTTCTTGGGTCAAAAAAAATCGGTTGCTGTCTTTGACCACTCCTTTTCTCCTGGACCTCAGGTTCAAGTTCTCAGGGAAGCCTATTAGCTCTGCCTTTAACTATATCCAGAATCTGACCATTCTCATTACACCTACTGCTGTCTCCCAGACCTAAGCCACCATCATCTCTTGCCTGGATTATTGTAATAGCATCTCAGCTGGTCTCTATTTTTAACCTTGTCCTTCAGTCTTGCAATGGACTAAATGTTTATGTCTCCCGAAAATGTAATGTTGAAACTATAACCTGTAGGGTGATGATATTAGGAGGTGGGACCTTTGGGGGGTGATTAGGTCATGAGGGAAAAGCTGAGTTTTATTAGTACCCTTATAAAAGAGACTCCTTATTAGTACTCTTATAAAATTCTCCCCTTTCTCCATGTTAGGAAACAAGGTGAAGGTGCCATTTATGAACCAGAACCAGAAAGTGGGCCTTCACAGAATTTGCTGATACCCTGGATCTTGGATTTCCCAGCCTCCAGAATAGAAAGAAATAAATTTTTGTTGTTCATAAGCTACCCAGTCTATGACATTTTGTCATAACAGCCTGAAGGGACAAAGACAAGCCAGTTATCAACTTGGTGGCCAGAGTAATCTATTAAAATTATAGTCAGATCAAGTCTCTCCTCTAGACAAAATGTTTCCATGACTTTAAAACTCAGTAAAAGTAAAGATCTTCATAGTCACCTCTCTCCGTGTGATCAAGTCCCGTGTCCCTTCTCTCTCCTCATTTCTGGCTTCCTTGCCATTTCCCAAACCTGCCCGACATACTCTCAAGACAAGGCCTCTAGACTTGCTGCTTTCAAAGAATATTCAATAGAATACTCTTCTCTATTATATTGTACAGTTAACCCCCTCACTTTCTTCAGATAAGTAAGAACTTTCCTGGCCATTCTATCTGAAATTTCAACACTTAATAAGACCCTTCCTTGTTTTCTAATTTCTTTTTAGGACACATTACTTGCTTTCGTATTTTATATTTTATTTATTTATCTTGTTTATTGTCTATGTGGTGCTTGATAGTGTTTTGCTCACTACGTTATATCTGGTCCTACAGTAGTGCTTGCCTTATGGTAGTCCTCGACAAGTATTTGTTGATTGGTCATTTAGTAAATAAATGAGTATTGACTAAATGGTCACCAGATTCTTCTTTAGTTTTATTTAATAATTTTTGGTCACAAGAGATAAAACAATTTTACTAACAAAATTTTCTCACATGGATTCTATTCCTTTTCATTATAAAAGTGAATATTAAAAATACTTCTGTAACATACATTTGCATACAATAAAATACAAAATACTTTCCAATCCAGAGTAAAAGACAAGGTAATTTTCTTTTAGTAGATATACTTTCTGAACATAATGCTATCTGACAAAAACAAAAAAACAAAAACCCGAAACCGTGTTAGTAATCAGCATAAAGGTTATTTTGCCTCATCGTACCTTGGTTCTTTATCCCAGAATGGTTTCTGGAGCAAATCACACAATAAGCATTATTCTTTTGAATTAAAGCAGTGTGTCTGTAGACAATCTTAGGTGTGTTTTTTTCTTTGGTTATGCTGTCCTCGTTCACTAGAATTTTCAGCTTCCTCATTTCTGCCTATGAACATGCTACAGATGAAGGGTATCATATTTTTAATATGCACAATTATTTTCCATATTGGAAAACTTATTTTTCTCTGTTCACTTTCCACTATTTTGGCATCAGGGAAGGAGATAAGAACAATGCTCTCCCTGGAAGGAAAAGACTATGATATTGGCCATCAAGGCAAGAGAATTCGTGATCTACCTTCTAATAACTCCAAAACCCCAGCGTGGGGAGGAAGTTCATCGCACGTGCAGATAGAAAACTAGGGCAGAGGGCCTGCAACCTCAGTCCGTAATTGCCTCTGCGGTAGGAAAAGGATGTTCCCTTCCCCCAATCAATCAATCAATCAATCAATAAAAAGCCCGGGCATGGTGTCACATCTGTAATCCAGAACTCTGAGAGGCAGATGTGTGAGGATTGCCTGAATCACAGGATTGAGACCAGCCTGGGCGACATGGTATGACCTCGTCTCTACAATAAATCAAAGAATTAACCGGGTGTGGTGGTGCGCGCCTGTAGTTCCAGCTACTTCGAAGGTTGAGGTGGAAGGATCACCTGAGCCCAGCAGGTTGAGGATACGGTGGCTGTGAGCAGCACGCCACTGGACTCCAGCCTGGATGACAAAGTGAGATCCCTACTCAATAAACAAACAAACAAACAAATAAAAAGGTTGTCCCAGAGCTTCTCTGACTAACG